ATGTACCCAATACAGGAACACCCAGATTCATAAAGCAAGTACTTAGAGACCTACAAAGAGACATCAACTTCCACACAATAATAGTAGGAGACTTTAATACCTCACTGTCAGTGTTAGTCAGATAATTGAGACGGAAAATTAACAGAGATACTCAGGACCTGAACTCAGCTTTGGATCAAGTGGACCTGATAGCAACAGAATACACATTGTTCTCATCACCATGTGGCATTTACTGTAAAACTGATTACATAATCAGAAGTACAACACTCCTCACCAAATACAAAAGAACTGAAATCATAACAAGCAGTTTCAGACTACAATGCAATCAAATTAGAACACAAGATTAAGAATTTAACTCAAGGCCGGGCACGGTGGCTCAAGCCTGTAATCCCAGCACTTTGGGAGGCCGAGACGGGCGGATCACAAGGCCAGGAGATCGAGACCATCCTGGCTAACACGGTGAAACCCCATCTCTACTAAAAAATACAAAAAACTAGCCCGGCGAGGTGGCGGGCACCTGTAGTCCCAGCTACTCAAGGGGCTGAGGCAGGAGAATGACTAAACCCGGGAGGCGGAGCTTGTAGTGAGCTGAGATCCGGCCGCTGCACTCCAGACCAGGCAACAGAGCAAGACTCGATCTCAAAAAAAAAAAAAAGAATTTAACTCAAAACCAAACAACTACATGCAAATTGAACAGCCTTCTCCTGAATGACTCTTGAGTAAATAATGAAATTAAGGCAGAAATCAAGAAGTTCTTTGAAACTAATGAGAACAAAGAGACAATGTAGCAGAATCTCTGGAATACAGCTAAAGCAGTGTTAAGAGGGAAATTTATAGCACTCAATCCCCACACCAAAAAACCAGAAAGATCTCAAGTTAACAACCTAACATCTCAACTAAAAGAACTGGAGAACCAAGAACAAACAAATCCCAAAGATAGCAGAAGACAAGAAATAACCAAGATCAGTGCTGATCTGAAGGAGACCGAGACACAAATAACCCTTCAAAAAAACAAATCAACAAATCCAGGAGCTGGCTCTTTGAAAAAATTAAAATAGACCACTAGATAGACAAAGAAGAAAAGAGTGAAGAGTAAAACACTATCAGAAATGATAAGGAGATATCACCACTGACCCCACAGAAACACAGACAATCATCAGAGAATGCTATTAAACACCTTTGTGCACATAAACTAGAAAATCTAGAAGAAATGGATAAATTCCTGGACACCTATACCCTCCCAAGACCGAACCAAGAAGAAATTGAATTCCTGAATTGACCAATAATGAGTTCTGAAATTGAGGCAGGAATAAATTGCCTACCAACCAAAAAAAAAAAAAAAAAAAAAGCCCAGGACCAGATGCATTCACAACTGAATTCTACCAGAGGTACAAAGAAGAGCTGGTGCCATTTCTACAGAAACTATCCCAAAAAATCACAAAGGAGGGACTGCTCCCTAACTGATTCTATGCGGCTAGCATCATCCTGATACCAAAACCTGGCAGAGATAAAACAAAAAGAGAAAACTTCTAGTCAATATCCTTGATGAAAATTGATGAAAAAATCCTCAATAAAATACTGGCAAACCAAATTCAGCAGCACATCAAAAGGCTTATCCACCATGATCAAGTTGGCTTCATCCCTGGGATCCAAGATTGGTTCAACATATGCAAATCAATAAATGTGGTTCATCACAATAACAGAACTAAACATAAAACCCACACAATTATCTCAATAGATGCAGAAAAGACCATCGAAAAAATTCAACATCCCTGCATGTTAAACGCTCTCAATAAACTAGGTATTGAAGGAACATACCTCAAAATAATAAGAGCCATCTATGACAAATCCACTGCCAGTGTCATAATGGGCAAAAGCCAGAAGCATTCCCCTTGAAAACCAGCCCAAGACAAGGATTCCCTCTCTCACCACTCCTATTCAACATAGTATGGGAAGTTCTGCCCAGGGTAATCAGGTAAGAGAAAGAAAGAAAGGGTATTCAAATAGGAAGAGAGGAAGTCAAATTACCTTTGCAGATGACATGATCCTGTATCTAGAAAACCCCATCATCTCAACCCAAAAACTTCTTAAACTGATAAGCAACTTCAGCAAAGTCTCAGGATACAAAATCAGTGTGCAAAAATTGCTAGCATTCCTATATACCACCAACAGGCAAGCAGAGAGCCAAATCATGAATGAACTGCCATTCACAATTGCTGCAAAAAGAATAAAATATCTAGGAATACAGTTAACGAGGGAAGTGAAGGACCTCTTCAAGGAGAACTACAAACCAGTGCTCAAAGAAATCAGAAAGGACACAAACAAATTGGGAAACATTCCATGCTCATAGATAAGAATCAATATCATGAAAATAGCCATACTGCCCAAAGTAATTTAATAGTTTTAATGTTATTCCCATTAAACTACCATTGCCATTCTTCACAGATTTAGAAAAAAACTATTTTTAAATTTACATGGAACCAAACAAGAGTTGGAATTGCCAAGACAATCCTAAGCAAAAAGAACAAAGCTGGAGGCATCATGCTACCCAACTTCAAACTATATTATAGGGCTACAGTAACTAAAACACCATGGTAAAGTGGTACAAAAACAGACACATAAACCAATGGAACAGAAATGAAGGCCACACACGTACAACCATCTGATCTTCAGCAAACCTGACAAAAACAAGCAATGCAAAAGGAGTCCCTATTTAATAAATGATGCTGGGAGATCTGGCTGGCTATATGCAGAAAATTGAAACTGGATCCCTTCCTTACAGCTTATACAAAAATTAACCAAGGTGCATTAAATACTTAAATGTAAAACCCAAAACTATAAAAACCCTAGGAGAAAATCTAGGCAGTACCATTCAGGACATAGTCACAGGGAAAGATTTTATGACAAATGCCAAAAGCAATTGCAACAGGCAAAAATTGACCACTGGGATCTAATTAAACTAAAGAGTTTCTGCACAGCAAAAGAAGCTATTGACAAAGTGAACAGACAACCTACAGAATGGGAGAAAATTTTTGCAATCTATCCATCTGACAAAGGTCTAATACCCAAAGTCTACATTGCTCACTGCTGTGTTCCATTGCTGTTTTTCTGACCCATTGGTTTTTACCCAGGGTTCTTACCTGGTTTTCCAGCTTCCTCACCAGGCAGGGATCTAGGCTTCTCCTCTATGCCTTGGACTGGTAAAATCAGAGAGAGAGCCTCTGTCAGGGCCCCTTGCCAATCTTCCAGATATCTATAGTTGCTTAGAGATCTGAGACTGTCTCTTTCCTCACAGGGAAAGGCTATTCCAACCCCAGAGACTGCGGGCCAGTCACTTCCCACTCCTCTCTCCGTAAAAGCAAAGTCCTCAAATAACGACTACTCATGCTGCACCCATTTCCTTACCTTTGAAAGGATATGAGGATCAGATGCAAAAAGCTTCTAAAGGTGGCTCTCCCTGCTGTCTGAGGAAGTGGAAGTATGAAGATGGATCGAAGAATTGACTTGAACTCCTTTTAGCTTCACTGTGGATGGTGGTGGTGTTACTTATACGCATTGCTGGCACTTGGCTTCTGTGTTGATCATTTTTCTGTTGGTCTGAGGATTCTCTCCATGCACAGAGTCTAATGGATATCCAGAGGCAGTGCATTACAAACCAGTCACTCCTAAAAGAAGCTTTAGTGTAAAAATACCACTCATTTTCTTAAAATGAGTTCCAGCAATATAATTTTGCTCAAAAAGAAAACTTTTTAGTTCCATGAAAAAGAATTCACCATCAGTTACCAAACCTGATGTTTTCTTTGCTAAAGTCAATAATATAAATACAAACTTACAAACTTGGGCCCACAGTTTAGTGTAATTCTAAAGCTCATTCTTATTGTAAATCTAATGATTGAGGGAACTTTAATATTCATTATCTCTAACTTTCTGATGTTCAAGAAAACGGAAGTCCTACAATGTTAGCTAATCGCTTCAACCTGACTTGGTTAGTGCAAAGTCAAGTACTTAGAACGCAGTTATCAATCTCAGCTCATTGTTTTGTCTTCCCCACTACATTGCCTTTCTTAAAAAGTTATCTTCCTCTACCTAGCACCCCAGTAACCTGTGACTCTCTTTGTGAAATATCCTTTTTCCATCACTGAAAAGAATTAAATGGAACGACTTCTTACAGTAAGTAATCCAAAAGCCCAAGTGATAGCTGTGGGTCATCAGATCCCATAGTGTGAGCAAGGAAGAAGACAGAATCTGCCCTTGCTGGCCCTTTATCAGCTCCCAGGACTTGTTGAAGACTTCCATCAAGAAAGCAAGTGATTGGATTAAGTATCCATGCCTTTCATCAGCTGCTGTAGGTCTTGGCAGTGTTACTGCAATGCTTTCACCCTTTTCATTTTTCCCATCCATTTGAAATGCAGTGTACCTAAATTTCCAACAAAATCATAACACAGGCTCTGTCAGTTAATTAAAGTGTGCTAACAAGCATACAAATTGCTAAGTCACTCTGGGAGGCTACCAGTTCTGGGTGTACTTATACATTCAGCACTGGAAACATGCCTTTCCAGTAGTACACAGCCAGAAATACCAAGGGGGTTTGCAAAGGACAGGATTAACCTTGGCCTCATGGCATTTTGTCTTTCTCCAGGAAAAGGAAGAACATGGAGACAACAATTGCAATACACAGTGGAGAACTCAACACCTCTTGATTTAAAAAAAAAAAAAAAAAAAAAAGATGAATAAAAAAGAAGTTTCCTGAAGGAGTAGGATAGAATTTACTGCAGAGAGAAAGTGGTAGTATCTCTCTATTTCAATTTAAGTGTTGTTCCCAGGCAGATACAGGTACTTCTAAAAAGACATAGATTCAAGAAAAATAGTATTTTGAGTCATAGTTACTAAATGAAGCTACAGCTCACAATGATCCTTGGGATGAAGACTATGACCCCCAGCAAAGTTACAAAGGATTCTGCTCTGGAATTTATCAACTGCTTTTTTTGTTCTCTTAACAGGTAAAAAATGCAGCTGCCAATGTACTCAGGGAAACATGGCTAATTTACAAAAATACAAAGCTAGTAAAAAAGATAGATCATGCAAAAGTAAGAAAACATCAACGAAAATTCTTGCAAGCTATTCATCAGTAAGTATCATTTTTCATTTTTATCCTGCTTTTGTGTCCTTGGCTTTCAATTTTTGCACTTGGTGGTTCTTGTTTCATAAGGAAAGAAAAAAGAAAACATTGTCATGTTTGCTTCCAGAAGATGTTATATGGCAATTTAATCATTCCACAGTAAGATCCTGAGAATAACCTCAGTTCCTTTAATGGTTAAAAATCACTTATTAGTACTAGAATATTAGTTAAAATGTCTTCTCAGTTTCTCTTTAGGATAACTTCTGCTAAGATGGTATTTCTTAATTTAACCTATTTATTCAGATAGTTTGCTCTAGGATATTTTTAGCTTTATTTTATAAACATAGCTTCAAACATATTTATATGAATGTAGTGCATATAACTGATTTAATACTTGAATTTTAAATTAGTTTTTAATCAGAAATTTGGCTGTGTTCATTTTAAATGTTCTAGTTTGTGTAGACCTTTTACTCTCTTATCATTATTTTAACTTTATCCAAACCACTATTGTTTAAGTCCTTTGTGCTGTTCCATTGTTATATAATTAACATAGACTTTTAAAGTAACAATCTACATCTAGTAAGATGCATTGATCATTTTAAAGCACAGGGTCTTTCTCCTCCAGGCTGGCAGCATCCTTACTGTAAGTATTATTCATGTGGGTATCGATTGTCATGCCATGCAGACTTGCTCTTAACACCATTTCTGTATGGAGAAGAGCAGATACGGTCACATTTGTGGCTCAGAACAGTGGCTTTCTTTATGAAACCTACCAGGGTAATAATGGAAAGGTGGGTAAATACAAGATGCTTTGGCTATCCAATGAGATTTGTCTCTCAGAGCCAACTAGTATAACAGACAAGAAAACTCAGAGGCTGCAATTTTTATTTCGCATGTTCAGGTAATTCATATGTAATACGGTACCACTAACATTTTGTAGGAAATTACTAAGCATTCATCTTCTACCCTAGAATACAAAACCTGTCCATTGAACTGCCCTGCTTAAATAGGTATCACTGAAAATGTAGAATATGTAATTATGGACAGATTCATACTTCCACAGAAATTAAAACTCAAGTATCCTGAGATTTATAGTAGAGGCAGGCTCTGCACATATGGTAGAGTATCTGGCCTTCATTGCTACTCACTCATGCTCTTTCCCCAGCTTTACTAACACACTTTCCTAAGATAATGATGCTCTTTCCTCTGTAGCTCAGTGACTTGACACACCACCATGGTTTTTCTCCCTTTGTAAGGAAAACACAAGGCTGTAGTTTTCAAATAATACTCTTAAAATAAGGAAAAACACAGAAAGGAACATTATATTCCATCCGACTCACAAGAAGGAACTTGCTCTAGACCTTACAGTTACAGTTATAATCCAGAACCACCACCCAGGAGCACTTGCCTAGACATCTTGATTCCTTGAAGTTTAGATTGAAGAGAATGAGAACGCTTCCTGCCTCCCCACCCAGAGATGCTGAGCTTTCGCCTCCATGTTCCTCAACCTATTTTCCTGTCAAACAGGCATCTTCCTCAAGGGACTCACCTCGCACAACTCTCCTATTACAGTGATCTTCCCCTGCTAAAACCATACTACATAGTAACCCCAACATTCATACAGGAGGTCCACAGGCCATACCATGGCAAAATCATTTTTGTACCTTTAATATTTTGATATTAACCTATATTTAGTATGTTAAAAAGAAACCTTACCTTAGTGCATGTGAGAAGATATGTATGTCCAGGGCGGAAGGGTGTGAGATGACACGGCAGTAAGCAAGTGTGGTCGGTCTATGTGTTGAGCAGCCACACATTCCATTGCCTCCAGGATCTTATCTGGGTCCTTTCCTGTCAGTCTGACCTATCAAATAGAAAATTACATGTGATTTACCTTTAATAATTTTTCATATAACAACAAATCCAAAAAAATGCTGTGATAGTTTTTGTAATACGGTTTTGTAGCCATGTGCAGTGGGAATTTGTATTACATCTTATAAGACTGTTCTGGACTATTATGTTCAGAATACATTCACATTCAAAAGCCTGGGGGAGAATTTAGGGGTTTTTACTGTAAAATGCTTTCAACTTTGCTGTAGGTTATTACATTTTTACATTAAAATATTACAAAAAAAAGTATTTGGGGAAGCTTAAAAACTGTCACTAAGCAAGTTGCAAATGCACCCTACAAGGCATGTCAGCCCTTTCTTAAGGGTGGGTACTGTGGAGTCGCTTGCACGGGGTCTCTTAGCATACTGTATTTGGACAGAGTGACAGAGGAAGCTACTTGTGATTTTTCTGCTTCTGTCAGACATTTCTTATTCTGTTTCTTCTGTAGCAATGTGTACTTCTAAAGCAGATAAGCTTCAGGCAACTCAGAAATGCTCTGAATTGCTTTATAAATTTTTCTAGGGGTTACCGGGTTTCCGTTGAGGTGGGGGACATTTATACTTTGTAAAAGTGTAACTATGTTTATTCATACAAGCTTTGTTTGGCTAGATCATTCTAATCATGCATACTTACCTTTCATTTTAGCTTAGTGTTGGAAGTTAGGGAGTGAAGTCATAGGGAAAGCACATAGGGCTCGATTCCTACGGGCAAGGCTTCCATTGCCCACTGTGCAGATCCACTGAGACCCTCAGCCTTATCTGTCGGCACTGGGTACAATCAGACCTTACTAGCTGAAGAAAAATGTTAAAATTCATTCGATAGATCACTCCTGGCCTCTCCTACTCTCTGATTTGTCCTGAGTGCTTTTTCAGCAGCTCTCTGCTTCTACCAGTCCCTGCTGTCTCAACTCTGTTTCTCTTTTCCAAACTTCATAGCCTCTCTATCCTCTGTTGGATGCTGAACTGTCCAGGCCTGTGCCCTCTTTTCAGTAATTTTCTTTTTAGATTGTCACTTAGTGCCATGAAGTGTTCTCTTCCTCTTAACTTTTAACCCTTTTTCTGGTAGCAACCTTACCTTTCAAGTTTATCATTCTTTTATTTCAACTATGGACCAACATGAATTTGTTTCGGAGCCAAGAAATCCAATCTACTTGATTTGTATATCATGAGAGTTGGATTACCTGCCTTTCAGAAACCCCAGGCTTCTGAGTTGTCCCAATTTGGAAAAGATGTGCCCCCCGACAAAAAAACAATTATAATGCCTTTGTTTCAAATATTGTTCTTTTAACCATATCACATTCATATTAGGCAAAAATATTTCTTGTCGTTGACTTGAACATCAAATATCAAGAGGCCATGATGACTTTATGCATGCTCTTCCTTCTGAACTCTTATTCAGAAGGAAGCTGAGTGCTTTCAGATGGGAAAGTATAGTAGCAATGAAGAAGGATAATGGAATAGTGTTTCTCTTTGGCCAATATGTCAAAATCCTGCAGAACCATAACAGGATCTTCCAGCTAATGAATCGAGCCCCCTGTGCACAACTGAACACCACATTGTGTTATTTTGTTCCAGAATATTTTACAGTTTCTTTTCTTTTGTTTTGTCTTTTTATTTCAACAAAATGAAAATAGAGCTCGGAAGTAAGTTGTGTGAGCCGCTCCTTTCAACATTTGCAGAATTTTCTACTGGCTGCATGCACCCAGCGGATCCTTTATTTGTGAATTTTAGTAGTCTGATTGCTGCTATGGAAATGTGATCCAAAATCATGATATTTTCCTGTGATAAGTGAAGTTCACAAGGAAGAAATCAACATATGTTTCTTATTCTTCTTTTTTGGGGGGAAAAAAGTGTACTACACATCTGCATGTTACCTTTTATTCTGGCAGCTGCAGCTTAAGCAGGCATTTTCTATCAGCTCTCCTACATTACAGGCAGTGTAAGAAACAAACAACAAGACAAGATGATTTCTGGAAGCTAAAGGAATTCCAATCGAATAGGGCTACTCTGTGTCAGCTTTCCAGATTCGTAGAAAATAAAATGGGCAAAATTCTACTGTCAGACATAGTATAGTAATCCAAGAGAAGTAAATTTGGCCCCGTTGTTTCCAAGATGAAGTACCCACTTAAGCTAAGAAACTGCCACTGGCTGTTCTAATCTGACTTGTAGAATTCAGGACTTTCTCTGTACTCATTACTTGCTGGAGGCATCTGGTCCAGAGCCCAAACTTCCATCATTTCTGTGCCACCAATACTACAACTTAAATTTGAAAATGAAACTTCATACAAATTCCTTTATAGAAATTTTAATCCATTTTTATACAAATGGATTAAAAATATTACGAAGAAAGGTAAAGGTAATTGTCAATTGATAGTTGGAATACTGGTATTGAATTCTAGCCATAGGCTGTTGCCTGCAGAAAGCTCTGAGCTGAGATTCTGCTCTTCTTTTAAAAAAAAAAAAAGCAGGTGTTAGGAGACAAAGACAGAGTGGGACCAGCCTGTGATGTTTTTCTTGCAGTAATGAAGAATTAGAAGAGAACTGATAGGAATAACTGTTTTCCATCTTAAGTATCACTTAAAGTCATCTAGGATACCTCTGTTGGTATGAATCCAGCAGTGCAGAAACATTGTTCTAATCTAACACACTTCATTCCATATGTGAGGAAACTAAAGGTCCAGTTAGAGTCAGTGAGGATGGAATCCACTGTTGTACATTGCTCTTTCTTTAGTACACTTCCGTGTAATGACCCATAGATGTCTAAGTGTTCTTTTTAGGAGGTATAGGGTGGGGGTAGTTGCCTGTTTTTCAAAGGCACACATCAAAAATTGTAACCCTATTAATTACTGAGGGAAATTTTTCTCAACAATATATTGGATCTAAATACATGCTTGTAAATTTATTTTAGACTAGGACATATTCCATCTCTATAATAGCATAAAAAGGAGCCAGTTAACTTCGTTCCAGTGTTCTAATAAACACATAGTCGCAATGAGAAGTTATAACCTTCAACTGTTGTAGATTGGTAAAGATCGTGTTGTAGGTAGGTGTCAGCTAAACTTACTGGCAGAAGACACTGCATCTTCACTGTAGAGCAGATTTGGTGACATATTGGATATCCTAGTTTCAGAACAAAATCACTGAACATTATGAACATATGACAGAAATCTCCCTGGCAGTAAAATCTTGCCCTGTGAGTTTTTATTCCTTCTACATAATTACCTTTCATTTCAATTGAAAAATAATACAAAATACTCTCTCTAGCATTAAAACTATACTTTGTAAAATGACTTGTCATCAAAGTAAAATAAGATTGGCATGACTGTTTGTTTGTTTGTTTTCATTAAATAGTTTAGAAGAACCTACTTCTCTTTTGGGAAAAAGCTTTTAGTTGTTAGCTTAAAGAACAACAAACTACATTTGTCTTATTGGAAAATCTTTCTTGGTACACAGTCAACACTGAATAAATATTTGTTGAAAAATAATATAGTAAATAAAGAATAGCAGAGTTCTTACCTAAAAATGTTTCCTAATACCATTTTTTGACTCTTAATTGACTCCTCATCAGGTACATACAATGATATTTAACAGTAGCTCAACATAATCTTAGGAGTAGAGACTCCATCTGCCAGATACTATAATTGTCCTCTGACTTTTATCTACTGAAAATTAAGGGAAATTTTTCCTAGGAAATGGTCTGGCCTCCCTTCAAATTTAATGGCAGTTCAAGATAAAAGTTAAACGAAATACAGTGAAGAAAAAGATAATAATTATGTGTTTTGTGTTATATTGCTGCTGGTTGAATAAAAGTTTTTTTGTTGTTGTTAATAAGAATCTCACTTATCACTGTGTTTTCATCAGGTTCAAATACCTAACCCAATCCATTTCAGACTAAACAGGGCTAATACCTGTATCTAGTCATGTAGGCATAGGAAGGTGCTCATTGCTCCAACATCGATGAAATTCCAGTTGCTTTGCATATTTCTTCCTATGTCTATTTGTCATGATACTGGGGCTTTAAGGAATGTTTTGGCTTTTTCTCATATGGTTAAATCCTTATGAGTCTTTCTGAATCCAACTTTACCTGGTAAATAGTTGTCCTAAGGACATCTCATCTATTGCTGTCTCTCTCCTTTCTTTTTTGCGGTGTTGGGGAAGCATGCTTCTCATTGAACCAGACACATAACCAGTTTGGACTTACCCCAGATATTCAAGGCATTATCCATGCAGTTATTTGCTCTTGTCAATTTTGTGCATGCTCTTTGGAAGGCATAAGATTGCTGTAGAAAGAAGGGAACCTTTCTGATATCAGATTCTGTCTTTTAGATTAAGAAGTGTAAAAATGGAGCAGAGGAAACTGAATGACCAAGCAAACACCTTGGTGGACTTGGCAAAGGTAAGTCTGAGGTGCTTAGCCCTCATAGTTGCATCTGTTGAAATCAGCCACTGCACAGTCACTAATCATTCATGTTTCAAGAGGATCCCAACCCAAATTTAATTAGTAAATCAAACCAACCAAGCACCCTAAAATGATAGTCCAAGTTAAAAGAATGTTTCTATAACTCTCATTTATTGTACTCTTTCCCTGTTACGTTATTCAACCCCATTCTGAAAACATTCCTAGTTACAGTGATTTGGAAGTACCATAAGAAGCTTAAGTGGAATAGGAGACAATACCTGTGGGATTTTTATTTGCATGTAAATCTCATCCCAATAAGAGCAGAACTGCATCTGAGATGTGAGTGTGATATTCAGAAATGAACAGGACTCATCAATTAAATTTTGTTCTATGTATTTTAAGCAAACTCAAAAGAATGCAAAGTTGAAATAAAAATAAAAGACACCACCTGTAATCCCAGCACTTTGGGAGGCCGAGACGGGCGGATCACAAGGTCAGGAGATCGAGACCATCCTGGCTAACCCAGTGAAACCCCGTCTCTACTAAAAAATACAAAAAACTAGCCGGGTGAGGTAGCGGGTGCCTGTAGTCCCAGCTACTCGGGAGGCTGAGGCAGGAGAATGGCGTCAACCCGGGAGGCGGAGCTTGCAGTGAGCTGAGATCTGGCCACTGCACTCAAGCCTGGGCGACAGAGCGAGACTCCGTCTCAAAAAAAATAATAATAATAAAAAATAAAAAAATAAAAGATACCAGAAATTACATCCTAAAATGAAAGTTATCACCCCAAAGTGATCATTTTTTATGGTTCTTTCTCCATTTCATTATTTCAAAATCATACCACTTTTTAAAAAGTATATTAACGGTCTCCAAATTATTCTACCTTATTTGCAACATTTATCTGATCAATTTCTGGTTGTTTCTCCCCACATAAAACCCATCCTTAAAACATAAATATTTGTCAGCAATCAAAACATTGCATTTTCCTGGTTGAGTTCTAAAGGTGGTATTAGAATAGCATTTATATAATTGTTCAGCCTTTTACCCAAATGCTTTGAAAGAGACAACTCTCAGTTGCATCTTACAAACTGTTTTTTTTGTTTGAGAAATCAGCCATGATTTTACTAAAGCCTCAAGTATAATCCATAAAAATTACAAGTGTTTGTTCTAGTCTCATTAAATAATGCATCTAAATTACATTCATTTCAATGTATATCAGTACCACATACTAGATGAAGATGCTAAGTATTTAATGATTTACCCTAGGAGAGCATATATCATGCATATAAACTGGACAGCACACATATATAAGGTATGAAGACATCCTCGATTAATGTGTGTAAATGTGGCTGTTACTTGGACATATGAAAAAAAGATGGGCAAGCTCCATCACTCCTAGGTTAAATGATTTTTAATGGATATTTTTGTGGAAAAATGAACAGACCACATTGGAATATGATGCAGAGATGTAATTTTACTTCAAGAGTACCACTGTGAGGCAAGATGCTATTTCTTTATTAATGTACTTATTATGACCACAGGACTGTACATACCATAAAGGCTCAGTATTTTTGTAAATGAATGGATGCTGTTCACATATTCTCAAGACTGTGTAGTAAAATTGAGTGTATGCACTATGTCTCTGATCAAACTGAAACAAGGTGCCTATATTCTGAATGATGACTCCCTTATCAGTTCATTTACCATCTTTAAAAGATTGTTAAGCAGAAGAAGAGCATATGATAGAAGAGAAATGAAGTAGAAGGAAGGACAGCTTAAATGAAGGGATCTCAGACTTGGGAAAGTCTGCACTAAACTAAGATTAAAACCTTTTCTTCCCCTTCACTAGCCTTTCCCCTTTCTAGCTCTGAGCTGATCAGTCCTTTCTCTTTGTCTTTTGGCTACTCAGGAAATATACCTAGAAATCCGAGTTATGGATATCCTGTGATCAAGACAGTCAATTTCAAGGTTCACTAGGAATCCAGAAACATTTTCCTATTTTAACCACTTAGCTTTGATTAAGCCTTAGCCAGTAGGTCAGAGCCACAGCCAACAAGGTAGACTGGTAACTTTAGTATCTCCCTCAACTAATATTCTCTCAATTATCTGTAAAATTTCCATTTGACCCAATGGAGCGAGGCCTATAATTTGAAACAAAGGATAACAAACAATATTTAGGAATTTATTGCTTTAAATTACAAAATTGTAAAACCAGTTAATCCTAAACTTCATTTATATTTTACCCTCAACATTTCTGCTAAATCCCAATACTGATTCTGCCCATTTTTTAAAAATTACCCCTGCCCTAATGTTATGTGTTGCAAAATGAATTTGATGCGTGTACTAACCTTTGTGACAACCTTTAACATAATGTTATGTGTTGCAAAATGAATTTGATGTGTACTAACCTTTGTGACAACCTTTAACATACATATATAAATATTAAATTGAAATGTTTTTGTCTATCCTGATACCACCTACAATCATTGGGCATACCACCAGTAGCAGTACCTGCTCCACATTTTCTACAACTGAACCAAAGATCTTATATTTCTGTTATAAATCCTAGCATTGAACAGATACAATGAATTGACTTTGCAAGATGAGCTGTTCAGTTTGCTGACACCCCTGTTATACTGAATGCCACCAGCAAGAGACTGGAGCTAAACCTCTGAGAGGTGGACAGTTTGTGTTCAGGGCAAGTATAATTAACCTTCTCAATCCTGTTTTTCAGACCCAGAATATCATGTATGATATGATTTCCGACTTAAACGAAAGGAGTGAAGACTTCGAGAAGAGGATTGTTACCCTGGAAACAAAATTAGAGACTTTGATTGGTAGCATCCACGCCCTCCCTGGGCTCATAAGCCAGACCATCAGGCAGCAGCAGAGAGATTTCATTGAGGCTCAGATGGAGAGCTACGACAAGCATGTCACTTACAATGCTGAGCGGTCCCGGTCCTCGTCCAGGAGGCGGCGGTCCTCTTCCACAGCGCCACCAACTTCATCAGAGAGTAGCTAGAAGAGAATAAGTTAACCACAAAATAAGACTTTTTGCCATCATATGGTCAATATTTTAGCTTTTATTGTAAAGCCCCTATGGTTCTAATCAGCGTTATCCGGGTTCTGATGTCAGAATCCTGGGAACCTGAACACTAAGTTTTAGGCCAAAATGAGTGAAAACTCTTTTTTTTTCTTTCAGATGCACAGGGAATGCACCTATTATTGCTATATAGATTGTTCCTCCTGTAATTTCACTAACTTTTTATTCATGCACTTCAAACAAACTTTACTACTACATTATATGATATATAATAAAAAAAAGTTAATTTCTGCACATACTTGTTTGGTCACTTGACATTTCTAAAGCTTCACTTCTCACATTATTTTCAAGGTAAAATAGCCGATTATCATCTGATGCACACTGATAATTTTGATAGCCAAAAGTTTGGCTGGTTGGAAAAAAAGACTTTCAATTCCTCTATACCCTAAGATTTTTCTCTTGTTATGAATCATTTGCATCAATCATTTGAACCAGGATAGCTTACCAGTTTTTGGGTTGCATTGTCTCATTTTTAATTCAATTTTTTTTTCAAAATGTAGAAAGTCAGTCTTTTATCAGAACATATACAAATAAGGAGTAGAGATGCTTTCAAGAATTTTTTAAACCCAGTTTACTAGCAAATTTATAGGAACAAAGTATCAGGGTACATCACTGTCTGTAAACAGATGGTGCAGAATTTTAGTTCTAAACTAGTTATTTCGTATCTTTCCATTTATTTATTATGAAAGGCCAAGCATGCACTTTTAAGTGTTTGGGGCCTACATGTGTATATTCATAGATACATGTTTGCATACAACAGCATAATGAGCATACATAAGCCTAACTCCTAACATATCCTCTAGTAAGTGATCTCATCTTGGTCTGTACTTACATATTTAACACAAGTGAATAGCATCTAGTAAATTTCACGTGTTTTAGGACACTTGTTTCCTGGATGGTTAAGGTCAGTTTGTGTGAAAGAGAACTGAGTGGTTATTGCTACAAACCTAGCTGTTTGCAGATTTGCTCTAAGAATCCACTGGGTTTAGAAGAACCATGTGTGAGATGATAGCAATATGGAATTTCCTCATGTGGTGTTATTCCCTGGAGTTTACAAGAAAGCTGATGGTGGTAGGGATAATGCGTCATAAAAATAAGGCTTCGTTTGGACATCTCTGAAAGCAACCTGCTTGTATCAGCCTAAACCTAAAAATATTCAATTTTCAGGGCAATCTGCTTCAGAAGCTTTTGTCCCCCCTCCACTTCATTTTATACCATACCCTTTGGTGTCAACCTTACAACATTCAAGTTGCTAGTATGTTTTTCCTTCTTTAGCACAAACTAGAGTGATATATTTCATCCACCCTACATAGTCCAATGGATAAAATAACATTTATAACATTCTGCATAAATAATTTAAAAACCAAACAGTTCCTTTCAATATCAAGGATCTAAAACTATGATTGCTTTAGATTGCATGAGAACCACTTGCCATTTACTGTCTATCCAAAATGGCTGAAACTAAAGTCCATTCATATAGAATGAGGCTTGGAATTTTTTTTTTTTTTTATAATAAGTGAAAGGAAACAAGAACACTGGTTATAGAAACATATTGCCAAGTTAAATGAACATCAAGATCCTACTTCATCAAGATTTCTATTTCATGGATGAAATCAAATCTCATTTTATGTATTTTGGGTTACATACAAGAATATATCAAGCATTTGGTATAAACACCGGATGTAAGAAGGAGAAATTTTGGAAAAACATTAATTTGTTCTTACAATGTATATAGTTAATTCTTGTATCTTCTACCTTTGTTGTGACTAAAAGGCACAGTAGCAGCTGAAGTTTATCATCTTACAGATCAATGAACACTATCACCCCAGAACATTAGGGGACTAGGGAAAGAATAATGTATTGCTGCTCTTGTCAAAGATGAGAGAAGACAAAGATTTTAATTTATATTTATTTACCTTGCATTTATTCTCTTCTTTTTAACTGTAGCTCTTCTAGAATAAGTCACTCTCTTATCCTTCAAAATCAATTTTTCATTTCCTATTCTATGTAGAGTATATGAAAACTGGTAAATATTAAATTTTTTATTTCTATTTTTTTAAATGCCAAATAACCACAGTTTTAAAAGGAGGAGGGGACCCATCGGTTACATAGACATTCTGGCCTGTGATTTGCTGAATCAACCCCACTTTAGGCAGAGCTACCAAGTCTCCTCCCAAATGGCTTTGAATTAGGCAGAGTCCTCTGAGCGCTGCTTAGAGGACTGCTCTTGTGGTGATAAATGCCCTGACTTGCATTTTGCTTTTCAGAATTCCCAATAATAATTAAGTTCTGTTTGTCTCATCTCAGCCTGCCACACCCTGGTCTGTTTCTCTACAGCCAGCACAAGTCATTTGGCTTCTGCAAATCATTTTAAATTACAATGGCACCACCTTCCTCAGTAATTTTCATTTCCTCCACTTACACTCAATGTCAAGGTTAGTCACTAGAAAGAAGACCCTGTGCTGTTACAGAAATGAGGATGAGCCAAATGCATAACAGATACTACATTTTGGAAATTTCATGTGTTTCTCTCTAGTTTCTCCTCCCTTTCTATCTGTTTTCCAAGAGTCTCTCCATCAAAACATCTGTAGTAATCGAGTAATTATGCTCCAAAACAGAATTTGGGAATTCAGATAAAAAGCTAGGGGTTAGGGTTAATATGAACATCAAGCAATGGATTAAATAATACAGTCCTCCTATTTTTGAGCTTTGCTCAGTTTTGATAAATAGCATGGCAAAGTGGAAGGAGTCAGACTTGAATGTGGAACTTAGCCCTGCCACTCACTAGCGCTGTGTACTTGAACATCATTGATTCTCAGAGACTTTTGTTTTCTCATTTGTAAAATGAGCCTAAAAAGAGACAGCTGTGGGGGGGCAGGGTGGGGGAAGTCTGCAAAGCCTGGCATCTATTTCATCAAATGATGGTAGTTACTTATATTACTACTTACAGCAAAAGGCAGCAAATATTAAACACCTCCATTATCTGCTTCTAACTGTTAGCACATGACTATATATATATACGTACACACACACACACACCCCCCAAATCTGTTCATAAATATGATCCAGAAAAGTAGAGGGTGTTTGGTTAGGGAGTGCTGGGAAGGTCACCTGAGAGTTGGAATAAAAGTTTCATTTACTTTTCCAGACCCTTCCCTGTAGGTCCTGAGCCTCCACCCACTTCTCCTAGTCTGTGTAACACACCCTGATGCCATTTATGTGTTTTAACTTGGGGTCCCCAACCCTGGGGGCCTGGCCAGTTAGCAACTGAGCTGCACAGCAGGAGGTGAGTGATGATACAGCAAATAAAGCTTCATCTGTATTTACAGCTGCTCCTCATGGCTCACATTACCACCTGAGCTCTGCCTCCTGTCAGATCAGTAGCGGCATTAGATTCTCATAGAAGCACAAACTCCATTGTGATTGCGCATGTCAAGGATCTAGGTTGCGAGCTCCTTATGAGAATTTAATGCCTGATGATCTGTCACTGTCTTCCATCAGCCTCAGATGGGCCCTTCTCATTGCAGGAAAACAAGCTCAGGGCTCCTACTGATTCTACATTATGGTGAGTTCTATAGTTATTTCATTATATATTACAATGTAATAATAGAAATAAAGTGCACAATAAATGTAATACACTTGAATCATCCTGAAACTATTGCCCCACAACCCCCAGTCCAAGGAAAAACTGCCTTCCACGAAACTGGTCCCTGGTGCCAAAGAGGTTGGAGACCACTTTTTCACTGACTTTTCAAGCAATCCACTAAGAAAAAAATTATCAAACGGGTTGTTTGATAAATAAAAACCTAGGAGATGTTGAGAGTCCTGGAAGACCCTGCAACAAGCAGTATAATACAAAGGACTTCTCTCCATCTCACTGTCACTACTGCTGGAGCCCTGATGAACGTGATCTTTTTCAGTTTGTTAGACTAGGAAGCAAAAACATGCCCTGTCAATGCTGCTTTCTAGTTCTTCTGTTAAATATGTCATGAGTCAGTGAACCCAGAAATAGAAAACATACAGTTTTCCAGGTATTTTTAGAAATACTTAGAATTTGTTCCCCCCAGAAAAAGCCTTTTTCTCCAGTTATGGTTTCCTCTACCCCAAGTGGGCTCATGCTCCCTAGGTGGTAGTATGGAATGAAAGATGCTACTCAAGTGATTAGAAATTACTATGGCTGAGCTCATTGGTATGTAGCCTATAGTCCCAGCTACTCAGGAGGGTAAGGCAAGAGGATAGCTTGAGGCCACAAGTTCGAGACCAGCCTAAGAAATATAGCACCCCATTGCAGAGAGCAAAAGAGTGAGTGAGAGAGAAGAAAGAAAGGAGAGAAGGAGGAAAAGAAAAGGAGGACGAGAGGAGGAAGGAAAGGACTGAAGGAAGGAAGGGAGGGAGGAAGAAGACTTACTAGGGCTACAGTGTCAGGAGTACTATATTAACCTTCGGTTAGTAACTTACTTAACCTTAGGTCCAGCTAAAAGTTGCGTCTAAGAGTGGCCGTGGTCAGCAGATTGTGGCCAAGCAGAGTAGAACAGAGAGACACTTTGTTTGAGTTTCTCTACTCTGTTAATAACTTGCCTTTCCTGCCCCCTCTTAGTAGGAAAGCAGTCGCTCTCCATAACCCAACTCTTTTAATCTCTGTTGGAGACAGGTCTCATTTAATCCTTTAATTCCTTCATCAACCCTACATTTATTTCCATTTTACAGATGCAAATACTAAAGGGAGTATCTGTTTCTAAAACGAGTTCAAGGAAATAAGTTCCTTTCTCAAAAACTTAAATTATCAATTTCCTTGGGGTTTCCTTCCCTGCCCCCCACTCCCAAATAAAGAAGCCTATAAACCAGATAATATTTCTCGTTTGTCCATCCTGTCACTAATAAAAATACTTGAGGGCAGTGAAAATGCAGTGTCCTCTCCTAAGGTAAAATATATATATATATTTGCAGACTCTGAACTGGTTCAGCTCAAAGGAAAAGTACACCTGCACAGTGGGAGATTATGTGGGTCTGAGTCATAAAAGAATCCAACAGATCACAGAACGTACTCGGTGTTGCACCCACATTTTGAGGTGATGCCACGTGTTTCCTCTGCTGAACCTGGGTCAGGCAATGAACCCTCAGCCATCCAGGCCCATCACCTCCCCTGCTGAAGAGACTGTGTCCACCAGACCTCCTTAGGTGGTCGATGAGGGATGATATGAGATACTAAGAAGAAGTCTAAACTATATCTTCACTGTA